CTGGGGTCTTTATTTCACCAAATGCAGCGCTAGTTATGATATATGGCCAACCGAGTCCAGCGGCAAAATGGGAAAAAAAAGTTCTGAATTACACAAGGCAAGCTGTTACGGCTCAATAACCCGGGCCTGTAATCGGCTCACATTTCAAACACACACACTCGCATTCAGACAGCCCCTTGCTTGGGCAGGTTTTTACGAGGAAGCACACCGCACGAGGTGATCAGCATATGTTTTGTTGACATAAATTTAAAATTTATTGCCGTTGTCAAAAGTGACTGTTGGACAAAGTCGATTATTAACTGAGTAAATGGCCTGAGAGAGTTTTATGTGAACTTCCTTAATGGCTACAGTCAGTCTGTTTCAAATCACCCTCCCTCCCTCCCTCCCCTCCTCCCTGAGCTCCCACCCCACCACCACACACACACACACACACACACACACACACACACACACACACACACACACACACACTCGCACACTGCTTGTCCTCTATTTCAGAAGCACAACATGAAAGCAGACAGTTACGATGGGATTTGAGAGAGAGTGTGTGTGTGTGTGTGTGTGTGTGTGTGTGTGGAGAGGTCTATCCAAGCTAAATCACTGAGCTGAGACAAAATATAAAATATTTTAGTATCCTTTTACATACCATTAAACATTGTTGGAGCTGAATTACGGTGTATTATTAGCTCTTCTTAGGCACACAAAGTGTTTAAAACATACCTCAGATGCTGACTGTTGTCTAATGTTGCATATTATTGTACTGCAATCAGGAGAACAATCTTCATTGACGTGTGCACCATGAAGATGAGAAACGTGAATAGTCTTTGGCGATTAGACCCCATCGTGTCTGCATCATATTTTAAGGGGGTACTGATTGAGTGTAGACACTGGTGGCGGTGGTGATGGGATGGAGAGAAGGGTTGAAGATCTGGATGTGACTGAAAGAGTAACGCCCATAGTCAGCTGATTACAAAAGAAGCAAGAGAAGAGGGAGAGAAATGTGAGTGAGTAACATAGTCTAATGCTAAGATTAGATTTTGTAGCCGTGTGTGTGCAGTATTTCATAAATGGGGGCTTGCTTACTCTCGAATCACATTCTGAAACACTCGTCTCCATAAGGTACCTTGTGTGTCCACACTGCTAGTTATGTATACCTTGTAGTCGCCATGTTTCAAAAATACATTCCTAATCATTTCTAATGTGCGACATCTCAGATCGCACAAAATAAACGCCAGTTAAACCGGTCAAGTTAGCACACTGGCCCCAGAAGATCAAATGTGATCTGGCTCAAATGTGACACATACAGATACCGTAGCTACATTTGGATAGTCTTTCTGGCTGTGATTTGGGCTCAGAGTCAGCTCTGTTAGCTGCGCTCAGGCTAGCTTTTCACCATTGTCACCAGCCGGAATGGGAATATTGCACTTGGCCTGGTTTTGTAGCATTATTCATGACGAGTCTGGCAGGAATTTGGAAACCAAGCATGCCGGATGAGAGCCGGTGCTGGGCCGAGCCTGGGTTTTTCCCCTACTGCAATACAATTTGTACAATACTGTAGCTTATACTCTCATTCATTGTGTCCATATCTGATATATTCATTTTATTACTTTTCATAAAAATTGCATTTTGCATATCGTCTGAATGTTGTTAAAGCCTCGACAAGCAACTTTTTTGTTGATTTTAACGGCCCCTGTGGACAAAAGCGGTAGTGTTTCCACTTTTGTCTGACTCATGGGAATCCAAGTGAATCCGACTGTGGCAGGGGTTACAAATAACCATATCATATTTGCCAATCTTCCCTCGTTTAGATAGATAGATACTTTATTTATCCTGAGGGAAATTCAAGTTTGTTTGTTGATGTAGGTCATATAAAGGCATAAGTATTAAACTGAGACATTTTAATAACCAGTTAAAAACTCCTTGTAGAACGTTTAAATGCTGAGAGAAAGGGCGTCATTGGCGTTGCAGTAGGACAGCCTTCTAAAAGTCCTAAACCTTCCCTTGAACAGACTGAATTACTGGAACAGGTGCTGTTACCGTTCTGTTGAACATCAAGTAATGTGCTGTTTCTGTGAGTAGTGCTAGCTATTGCAGTTGAATTTAACACTCTCTCAGCTAGGGACATACACACCGCACTTTGCTCATCAACACTACATTTACGGTGAAAATACATGGCATTGCTTCCACTTCTAGTGGCCTTAATAAGTCCATCCATACCTTATCAGTGCTCTGTCTGGGGGGCACAATGGTCAGATTGAGGAGGGACACAAAAGGCCTTTGAAAGGCTTTGTGCTCTGTGTGTTGTGTTGAGGTTTACCGCCTGCGTGTGTTTTCCCCTTATCAGAGTGAAAGTGTGTGAGTACATCACCTGTGATCCTTGCAAGGAAAAAGCCCTGTTCTATTCTTTTGTCCATTTTGTTGTTTGTTGGTGAATTTATGTCATTCATGTGGATAACTCGTCAAAGACTAAATTACTTCAATCAGGGGTAAACATCAGTCTTTGGTCCCTCAGAGTTAAAATGTGAGGCGATTATTCTAGTGCTGCTATTTTGCACCAATCATGGGGGGAAGAATTCCAAAATAGGTAGTTCGTCCACCAGCCTTTGCCTCAGTAGACCAGAATGCAATGCAGTTATAACGCAATTGCTGTTGATTTGTCTATTTGTATAACCACACACACCACACCACACTTTGATTCTGTATTGTTACGCCTGTATGCCTGTGTTTGATTGAACGCAACCAATCAGATTTATCTGCTGGTTATGGAAGTGTAACGCAGCCTTCATTAAAAAACAATGATAGCTCCTCAAGAGGTTAGCGTAGATGCTGCTAGCATCAGTTGTATCAGAAGTGGAGAGTATTTATTGAAAGGAGAGCAAAGAACGCCACTGACTGCTGATGTTTTCGCTCTTCAGTAACAGTTTGACTACGTTATGCGGTTCGTGATAGCCGCTGATAGACCGATGGTTCAACCAATCACCTGCAGGGTATTTTTTGAGTGCCTGCCCTTTTTCAAACAGTTTCCAACAATGACTTGCCAGATGGTTCTGTAACAAAGAATCTCACACAGTCAGGTTAATAGAAGGGCATTCTGGGAAGAAAATCCATTAAAGTTCCTTACATTATGATGTAACTGCTGGACTGAACTCTCCATCCTACCATCACAAATTGATATCTAACAGTGTCTAACAGAGCATTGTTTTCTTTCTCAGCTGTGTCATTCTTCTGTGTCACTTTCTCTCCCCTTTTGGCTCCTCAAGTGCCCCTCTTTCCCTTTTGGGGGCATTTGGCATTTATAAGGCCTTTTAATTACTCAGTGCTTGCCAAAGGGCTGTCATTCTGCCTTTAGTTTCATGGGTCTCCCCGCAAATTCCAACCACTATAACGGTCATGACTTCTTCAACCCACCTGCATATATATATTTAACACTTCAGTTTTTTGCCGCCCTTCCTTTCGGGTTTCAAGGATGTTTTGCAGCAATTAATTGTCACTGAAGCTATGCTAGACTTTGTTGCTTAATAATTTCTGCAGCCTTTGCCATAAGACACGCTATAATCTCTCTCTGTCTGTCTCGGTCTCATCCCCGCTCTGTCTCTTCCTACCCCTCTCGAGGCACAAAAGAGAGCTGTAAATCAATTTGCATTCGACATCTGACATCAATCAGTCATGTTTTGGGAGAGTGGCACCACCTCCTCCTCTGCGGCTTTGTTGAGAGACGCTAAGATGGATGGCTGTCATCTCGTCCAAGTTGAGCAGATCTCTTATCAAGGGCATTGTTTCCCCAAGAATGTTTTGTCTGCCAGAAGCATACACACACCTGGGTATAGAATCGCGTGCTTGTCCTGTGCAAAAATTTATTTCAGTTTTGCATTAAAGTGTTCAACATTATTCAAATGTAGAAACATGCAAATCAGACCAAAGCCTTATAATTAGCTTAAAGAATTATCAGTGGTGTTTTTCGCCACATGCCACCATCTTGATTTAACCTGATGGTAGCACTATTATCAAAAAGATGTTAGTGGAGCCTCACTGTGTGACAGAGCAACAGTTTTGGAAGATTAAATGTGCCAAATCTGAAACAGCACCAACTTGACAAACAATCATTACAATCGTGGGTGTGTGTGTGTGTGTGTGTGTGTGTGTGTGTGTGTGTGTGTGTGTGTGTGTGTGTGTGTGTGCCTTTTGTGTGCCTCACTCAAGGCGAGGTATTTGAAGTTCTCGGGAGGTTTAAGGCACTGTGGCAGTTGTTTGGCAATTCGTGTCACCTTAATTGCTTTAGAGCACTTTCAGATATCTCTCAAGAATAATATGCTTTGTACTGAGCCGTGGGGTCTTTGAGGATTTCGTAACGGAGAGAGACGTGGGGCTAGACTATCTGTTGTCAGATGTTATTTAGTTACCTAACCTTCAAGGCCTTTACCACATAATCAAATATTGAACCTTAGTCTTGTCTGACCTTGTGCACTTAAACTATGTTACAGCCTAATGACTGTCTATTTGGGAAAAGACAATTCATTGCACATCAGATTTTGCTTCAAGCCACACATCACCTTATAGTTTAGAGAGCAGTCGTCAAAAAGTGGCCCATAAATGGTTCATAACACTAAGTAGCTGTCTTATGTGTTTGCCTGAATAAATCATTCTATTTCCCTTTTATAGCTCCTTATCCATCTGCAGCACTTGAGATGCAGGGAGTTGATAATGCCTCTGCTTGAATAGCACCTTGTGATTTACAAGTCATGGTCTGGTGCTCCCTGCAGAAGAATATGTGCAGTAGTCGGACGGCTTGTTACCCTGATGCTTATTGTTATGCGCTGATGTTATGATTGATGGAGTGTGACACTTTCTCTCAAATTGCAAAAGGCCAAATCTTTGTTGTGCTGAAAGTTATCAGTTGCTGCTGTAAAAAGAGTGAGGTTCATGCACAATGAGCTGGGTCAGAGCGGTATTGTTCAACGGAGGACAGGCAGTGAAATGTTTGTTTTGCTCTTTGTCAACAGGAAGATGCACAGTGGAATGAAGACCTACGGCTGTGAGCTGTGCGGGAAGAGCTTCCTGGACAGCCTCCGTCTACGGATGCATTTGCTGTCTCATTCAGGTAAAGAAATCAACCCAAAAAGCACACAAACGCCACACTGTGATCACTGTTGGGCTAGCAGCCCTTTCATTGGTGGGTTTACTGTTTGTTGTAGGGACAAACTGATGGGACAGAGCATTCATTACTCTATCTATGCTATACAGTTGCATTTTAACAAGTTTCCCAGAGCAGGTATGAAACAAAATATAGTGAACCACAGTCATTTTAAAGTCTGTATTAAAGTCCTAATGAATGTCAGAGGTCATTCATTGCTCATTAAAGGGCCACAGCATTGGTTTTGCACGTTTTAACCGATTCATCACAAATCATAATATTTCTTCCAACACTTTCCAAAGCAGTCTGCAGATGTTTCGATTGTTTTTTTTATTGGTTCCCATTCATTTTAGTGCAGTTCATAACCAGATTGCTTTGTTGTTCATTTACAACTACATTGCCTTCCAATGCAATAGGAAGTTTGCCAGAAATAAAAGTAGGCCTGATGTTCTCTCTGATAAATATCAAGCCGGGCTGCCAGGATTTCAGAAGTACTGAGGTCAGGAGTCCAAATTCCCCAGCACAGCCCCACCCAGAGACATTTTTGACTAGCCACCAAAGACGTCTTATTAATTATTTTTTTTATTTAACTGTTTGCTGAGGACATGACCTTACTGTCCTCAGTGGTAGATACAGTCCTGAACAGGTTTTACATCCTAGAAAGTTGATTATAATTGATTTAATGAGTTATGTGATTCCACATGAATGCGCTGTACATGCTAAACACTGGCATTATCCTTCAAAGGGAAATCTCTTTTTCCTGCAGATTTATACTCTTATACCCTGAAGCAAAGGCCGTCTTAAGCTTTTACACTTGTATCTCACAAATCTGGTTTACAACCATGAATAGATTCAAAGTGATTAATTCACTATGAATACATTGTGTAATACATCACTACTGAAAACGGATTCTTACATGATATATGTATTTACAGTAGATGTCAACTTTGAAGTTTCTGCAGTCTGAGAGCTGAATAAAGGGATAGCTTGCCTTACATGCTTTATCTACTATAAATATACTAGTTTCAAATATGTGAATGTGGAGCATAACCCAGTTTCAGTGATTTGTGGATGAAATAACTCTTCAGCCCAGTAAAGCTGAGCAGCTCTGGCAAACTTAACCAAAGAGGTGCCTGCACATCATCATCCCGTCATCCTACACCTCTGTGACATCCGAGGTCTGAAAGGCAGTAGAAGTAAGAACACAGGACACATTGATTGGTCCAGTCTGACACTATTACACCCACCCCCCAAAAACACACCCCAGCAGTCCCTGCGCTCTGAGCCTACTTAGCACAGCAATGCTTTAATGGCATGGACTCTCTTTTATAGGCAGCAAAGAGCTCCTCACTCCTAAGGCTCTAAGTGCAGATGGTTTATTGAGACACTGTAAAAGCCATGGGACCTCTGAGGGAACCCCTTCTGCACACACACACACACACACACACACACAAAACCCCAAATCCATGTGTTGACGTTGGCCCAGAAATTGAGCCCTCTGTTTGGTGCCTTGCATGTTTTCCAATGGGACACAGTAAGTGGTCTGAATTGTCTTCTTGGCATTATTGTTGTTGTTGTTGTCGGTGGTGGGGACACAAGCTGCCCCCCCCCCAGCCAACTACTGTCAGTAGGCAGAAAACGATAATTGCCAGGATCATTTGTTTGTTCCTATCTCACCGAAACTTAAACAATGAATGAGATGGATGCTGACACTCCGGCTATGTTGTGACAAAGATGAATGACAAACTCACGCTGTGCCAGTGAATTGGCTCAGCACACAACTCAGCGTGTCAAAGACAAAAGTTGCTCCGAGGAAATATTCACTGTTTATTTTAAAATTACACCCCATTTTCACAGTCCCTGCTGCACATACGTACACGCTCCCCCGTCTCACTCACTTTTTAACGTAGAGAGACGGGCGGGAGCTCTGTCACAGAAACATATTGCACAGATGCTGAATGTTAAACGTCTGGCCCTTGAAGCCTCTGTCCTGGCTCTGGTTCTGTTTTGTGTAACATCATATTCTTTACTTCAGTGGTAAAAGTGAGCGTGAAGTCAGAGTTTTCTTTAAGTCGAGAGTTATGTCAAAGTGGAAGCTGAGGGTTAGTCGATGTTGCCTTTTTCCTGAAGTGTGTGTGCAGCCCTCTGCATGCTCCAGTGGAGATTAGCCTTTAAGAGCCATGCTCTGACTGCTGACATGGATCTAAGTTAACCCAACAGCAAACTTATACTTTCAGTTAGGGAATTAGTTCTAGTAGCTATTATATACGTTTCGGACAGAAGTAGTAGCAGTCGTATTGATAATGAACACAGTAGAAGCTGTACTAGAAGTATTTAAAGTTTTGACAAATAATAGTAGTTGAGGTAGCAGGATTAAAAGAATGATAGAAGTAGAATTCAACAAACATTTAAGTCCGCCAGGTACTACCAGGTGATGGTTAAAGAGGTTTTTTTCCAGGAAGAATTTTATCAATTTTGTTCATAAACATAACCTAAAAGTATGCATGTGTGTGTGTGTTGGTGTGTGTGTGTATATATGTAAATATATATATATATATAGTCTTTTGGCTGTGTATAAGTTACCAGAAGTCTAATGTTTTGATCACCCCATTTATATCAATGCCAGTAAGCAACCTAAGCTGATAAAAAGCAAAAAGTGTATACTCATTAATTTAAAGTGACAAATAATGTCATGGACTAAAAGCTTTGAGAAGAAATGTTTGCTTGCCTTTTGCGATGACAGAGAAAACAAACGACTGGCTTCATATTTTGTCATTTATATTTTTCATAAGTTTTTGAGAGTATTTAGCAACCATTTATCTTCCCTAATATCGTGTAGCTGTAACAGAGAGTTGACAGCACTCAAATAAAATCCTGTTTATTTTGAGGCAAGATGAAGGAAGTGTAGGGCACTAATTGTAATAGATACTGAGAGACACACATCTCCATATGCATATATATATCAATGTCAAACACTGTAATGTCTCTCTATTTAATTGCTTTTAAATGTATTTTAAAGTGGGAAACTAGAATGTAATATGAGTGTTACACAGGCCATATCATTGTTCAGTTCATCCCGTGTGTGAGTGAATCTTTAAATATGTTAGAATGGCAGGAAATGAGCTCTCAAATTTTGAATAGACAGACCTGCGGCTATGGCCTTGGATTAGTTTCCCACAGAGGTCAGGAATGAGGAAGGAGAAAGGTGACAGGTACAGGAATGTTTCTAAGACCAGAGAGATCATGAGTACAATATTTTTTAATAAAGTAAGAGCACGAGTGTGAAAAAAATGTGTGAATGTGTGATTTGGATGAAAGTCAGAACATAAATAGAGTCTTCCAGCACCAGTTAAAAAGCAGATCATCTCTAATCTCCTGTGATATCAACAGGTTAATAATATCTCACAATGTGTACTCTTTGTCATGAGGTGAAAACTCTGCTGATAGGAGATCAAATGGAAAAAAAAAAAAGAACATTGAAAACTTCGAGGAAGAACCACATACTCCACCTTGAGAAAGGCAGCCGAGCGGAAGATGTGGGCAGTGTATTTTTAGCAACAGTGGCAGCAAGTGCACAAACTTTTTTTTTTTCCCTTTCGTTCTTTTTTTTTTTCCTCTTTCCAAGCGGGGCCGTGTTGACGCACGACATCAACCTGTACTGTTACACACATCAGTGTTGATTCATAGCCGCTTTGGTCTGGCGTAAAAGGCAAGACAAGCGCTTCTGTGGAGACGAGCGACGGTTAGGGAAGAGACAGCACTGAGGCAAAGCTTCTTTGATAGTTTTTGTTGTCTCTCCTCCACCTCCACCTCCACCGTTTGACTTTCAAGGTTTTTTTTTTTTTCGGTCTGACGCCGCGTCTTGATTTTTATCGTGTCTCTCTGTAATGATGACACTTCACCGAGTCCCAAAACCCTCAACCTCAGCCCCTCCTCCTCCTCCTCCTCCTCCTCCCCCTCCCCCTCCTCCTCCTCCACTGCTGCCGCCGCCATCATCCTTCAGCTCGCTTCAGAAAAGACAGAATATTGGGGAGATGAAGCGAGAGAGTGGAGAGGCTTTTTGGTATGCGCAGCGTGTCGTGGATGTGGAGCGTTTCAGACGCCGCTACTGCTGCTGCTGCCTCCTCCCTCCCCTCTGCTTTCCACTCTGTCTCTCACTCTCTGTCTGTCTGTCTGTCTGTCTGTCTGTCTGTCTGTCTGTCTGTCTCTCTGTCTGTCTGTCTTTCTGTCTGTGCCTGTTGTACGGAGGACTTGGTGGCTTGCCAGTCTGGGCTGCCTGCCACCACTGAGGGTACAGTATGTACAGTCTACCTTGTGCCAGCTATTTATTTTTTTTCCTCTCGTCTCGTTCTGTCTCGGTCCTCTCTCTCCACGTTGTTTTCTTTTTTTTTTTTTTTTAATCTCCGCCTGACGTTTAGTGTTTGACAGCGTTTGCTGAGCCAAAGCCTGCAGATGGGGGTTCAAGCGGGGTGGAGAGCTGTGACTCAGCCCCTTTCGGGTGCATTTTGAGGTCCTGCTCGTTGTTTTCTTTAAATGACAGCAGCGCTTTAACACTCCTGATGGACAATAATGCCAACATTTTGTCAACTTTGACTGACCAATTTCATGCAAAAAGATTACACAGAAAAATCGAAAAGCCTCATGTTTCACCGAAAATTGTGTTTGATTCCAGTCCTGAAACAGCAGTTAAACCACAATGAAACCCCAGAATAAAAATACTAATGCTGGATTCAGTCAGAACTCTGGCTGGTTAATGGACCTCAATAAATGTGCCCATAGCACAGAGTATTAAAAACTAGTATTTATAGTTCATGTTGAATATCTGCTCAGATCAGTGGTGTCGCAGATGGGGCCAGGGGTAAATGGTAAATGGACCTGTACTTGTATAGCGCCTTTCTAGTCTTCCGACCACTCAAACCGCTTTTACATTACGTGCCACATTCACCCTTTCACACACAATCACTCAT